CAAGCACACTGCCAAGTAGTGTACCAAGGTGGTCCAAATTTGTATCCGCCCCTCCTATTGGTCAACGTCACGGCCGCCACATGGATGCATTACGTCATTCCCGTCTGCCAACGACCAATCACAGTATGGTACTTGCGTCTTCATGGTCCCTTCAAATCCTGGGGCCGAACGTAACCTGGGCCCCTGTGTAACCTTGGTCCCGGTGTAACCTGGGTACAATTGTACTCTGGTACTTATGAATGTCACCCGTGATGACCACGGAGAGTGATTACAATAATGGTTGAGGTGAGACAAACGATGACGAAAACACAGAGCGCGAGTGTGTGCATTAAAATGCGTGGGACTGGGCCGCAAACTAATTACTTTTAATTGTATTTTGGCTGAAGAGCTGATATTTTCCCACTGGTATTTGTGTACGAATTGAGGTTCGGTTACACAGTTCCGGTCAGTATCTTCTCAGGGACTGGGATCGTGCTGGTGTCGTAATGCTAAAATATTAGTGCAAAAGTTGAACTTGAACTTGAACTGCTGTAAGTTTAAGTGCAAAGCTCGTTATTTAATCATACCTATTTTCTGATTTCGATAAAAAATTTATCTCATTTATTTGATTAATCTTTCAGCAATACATGTCATTGATGAGAGGTCCGTGCATACCTATGTCAGTTGATTTTTGAATGTTTTGTTGCAACTGCCTTTGCCACTAACTTGTACGAGCTGTACCTACTCAGTCTTCAGATTTTCCATGTGGCATGTTTTTATCTTGAACTGCTGTGATTAGGCATTGGCCATTAGCGTCGCCACGGGGGGGCAAGCGGGGCAGCTTGCCCCCCCAACCTCGGACCGGGCACCCCCTGAGATCGATACAGATCCGATGAGATTTTGGAGTCGGGGAAAAATGGGGGTACCTTTCTGAGAATGCCTGTGAGGTCAGACTCTGTTGGAGCGTGCAGTTCAAACCAAAGTCAGAGTCGCAGTCGCCAAAATCTTCAAGACTCCGACTCCAGACTCGGAAATGTCAATGCCATGATTCATGCCATGTTCCTAGTTGGTTCTTTATTACATTTTGTAGCTGATTTTCATAAATTTTGGAGTGCTGACACATAATTTTCGTTCAAAGCGTGACACGAAATCTTCGGGGCCTTTCTCAACTCTCGTCAAATGTCTGCGACAGGCACAAGTACCGTTCAAGTGCCGCAGGGCTCATGAGCCTGCTTTTCACACAGGCTCCTAAGGAGCTCCACTGAGCTCTAAGAAGCTTTCGGAGGGCCCAAACCGGCCTCTGAGAGTCCCACTGGTGTCCATGTTCTCTAGAGGGCACATACAGGGATCTTTGAGGACATTATACATACGTAGGCCTCTGAAGGGCCACACGAATCTTTGAGGATGCCTTCGAAAATTTCTGAAAACCTCAACTGGCCTATGATAGTTAAGCCGAACTTTTGAGGCGACAGACTTTACTAACCCCAACCCTGCATCTGAGGGGTCACAACTCACGTGTCCCTCTGAGGGCCGCAACACATGTTTCTTATGTCCCTACCAACGTAGGGTCCATAACCCGCGCCCCGCTGGGGGGGGGGGCAGAATCTGCCCCCCCTCCCGTTTTTCGCCAATAACTTCTAAACGCGTTACGCCAGCGACGTCAAACTTTCAGTACCTTATCATACATCAATTTGACACGTTCCCTGAAAATTTGAACGAAATCCGTCAGAAAATTTTTGAGAAATTGACGTTTTAGTGACGTCATGTTCGCCATTTTCGCCTCAAAAACGGCAAAATTTCAAACGCCGCTAACATCTTCATTTTTAAAGGAATCAAGACGTAACAAAAAAGGTTATACGTGATTCCACGTTGTCTATCAAATGGCTATCTCGGTTTTTTGAAAATTTTGGATTTTGGCCCAAAATTTTTCAAAAAATTGATTTTTTTGGGAAAATAGTTATAAAATCCAAAATTTTGAGTGTATCGAAAAAACCGGAATATATGTCAGAGAAGTGGTCAATGTGCATCTACATACCAATTTTCAGAAGAATCGGTTGAAAAATGTGGGAGTTATTCAAAATTTTATGACGTCACGACACACAAAATTTTTGAAAAATGATTTTTTTGGAAGTTCTAGACCTCGTACGGAAACAAAAATAGCACCATTCGATTCGCCGTGAAAAACTGCATCAGATAGACACCTTTTTGGGCCTTAACAACCAACTTCAAAATTTGACCTCACTTGACCTGACCTTGACCTGACCTCGACCTGAAATTCATCCAGAGGTGGTCCATATCACTTATTGAGTGTGCCTATTGAATTCTATGAGTAAAATGAACCATAAAACATGTGTCGCACATGCCCTCTTCTATATTTTGTTTTTGGTGACCTGACCTGACCTGACCTGACCTTGACCTTGACCTTTGAATGACATTGTATGCAACGAATATTGTCTTGGTAGTCTAAGAACACGTTTTGGGCAATCAGTCTCAGTCCATTCTTCGGCAACTACGGTGCAAGGCCGATACTGTAGAAACTTGCATTTTGTACCCTTGACCTGACCTTGACCTGACCTCTGACCTACTTAAGCAAAAAATTTTGGGCTCTTAAGATCCGCCTTGTTGAGAGCTTTCGATTGCCGTTTTCCCCGTCTTTCTACGACCATCGGTTCGGAAGTTAGACAGGGGGGGCAGAATCTGCCCCCCCCCCCCCCCAGCAGGGCGCGTATGGCTGAATAGCCCAGCGGGGCGCGGGTTAAGGATTCGACACAGACCCCGACGGTTCACACTGTTATTCGAGGGCTCCAGGCTCACCCTGGGCCTAGTTTCTTAGCGCCCGCCGCCCACACTGGCTTCTGAAAGCTCGTGTGCCCTAAAGGGCTTTCCGGGCCCACCTTAGGCTCGGAAAGCCCTAAAGCACCACATACACGTAAATATTTGGGGTGACCCACGCCGATCTCCGGGATCCTAAGCAGGCTTCTGAGAGTCCACACTGACCCTGAGTGGCCTGAAATGGCCTGGAAGTCGCAATCCTATCTCTAAGGGATCCCTTGCCGCTATGCCGTGCGTAACTTTTGGTTCCGTTAAATATTTTTGGTCGCGTTTGCAGCGCTTCCCTTCACTCGAAAAACCAGAAACTTTTTGTTCACACTCGAGTGAACAAAACACTTCTTCTCACTGCAGCAAGGATGAATGATGTACTTCCGATTCACACTTCCGACATTCTCTCTCAGTCTCCGCCGAATGCCCAATTCTTAGCTACAATCGGCGGCTGGGATAAGCCCTATGCATTTCACGTAAAACCTCGGCGTGCATGCGTGAATGGAGGTTTTAGCGAGGTGATCCGATTCAAATGGAGCGTTTTTCACCTTCTTCTGGGTAATGATCATGAGCGACGAGAGTCTGCACAGGGGCCCTCTGCAGTGCGTCGGCAATCGCAGCCACTGTAATTCTAACGGTCGTTTTTGTCCAGAAATTTCAAAATTTTGATTTTTTTGTAAAAAAAATACATGCTATAGCTAAGAGGAAAACTTTGTCCCCATCGGATTCCTCGCACCATTGCGCGTCGAATGATATGTAAAACGAGTGAGTAACGGCTGGGGAAAGGCAAGATTTAACACAAAACTTGATTTTGCCCCCCCCCCCCAACCGAAAATGTCTGGCGACGCCTATGGCATTGGCATATATTTCATTCAATGTTAAGATAATGAAAGGAAAACACCTACATTTGATTACCTGTGACAATTTTCATAGCAAAATTCTAAAAAAAATATAACTCATCAATAGGAAGTACTTTTTTATTTTCATATCATCCTCTCAAAGTTCCTGTCCTATGTATAAAATGTTACAAACTCTCTTGACTTAATGTTTCAGGCTTATCAAAATGGATCATAGCTATTCAGCAGCAGAGCTTGCTGAACCCAAACCAAACAGCAGGATGAAGCAGTTGTTGTACAGCTTGCTGCTGAAGCTGCTACACCTGCTGTTCACCTGTGCAGAGCTGGTGTATGGGGCTGTGCAGAGGCTCATGTGGCAGTTCTCTAAAGTTCCAGTCACCCCGCCACTGGCAGACATCTGTGCCAATGGGCTGCAGCTGGCGAAGCGGCCAGAACACCTGGGTGTCATCATAGTCGAGAAGGACATCTGCTGGCAAACGCTGGCCGACATCATCGTCTGGAGCACGGCCTACGGCATCCACTACGTCAGCCTGTACGACCGCAGCGGGCGCGTGCGGGCCGGAGCGGAGCAGCAGCTGCGACCGCACCTGGAGCGGCGGCGGCGGGCGCTGTTCGGCTCCGTGCCGTGCACCGTGTCGCTCGTGGAGGGCGGTGCGGAGCCGGTACCCACGGCGAACGGCCACTCTGGGGACGGAGACGGCCAGTACCACGTCTCCGTGGCGCTGCTGTGGGAGCCGGACGGCCTGGGCGATATGGTGGCCGCCGCTCGCCGGCTCTGCTCAGAGGTGGCGTCCGGCGCGCGGCACGCCGACTCCATCGACCGGCACATGTTCGGCGAGCAGCTGCGCGCCGCAGCCGCCTGGCCCGACCCGGCGCTGGCCATCAAACTGGGCCCAGTGCGCGCGCTGCTCGGCTACCTGCCCTGGCAGCTGCGGCTGACGGAGGTGCTGGACGCACCGCCGCGCCGGCCGCTCCTCTATCGGGACTTCCACCGGCTGCTGACGGCGTACGGCGGCATCCAGCAGCGGATGGGCACCTGAGACCGCCAGCGCCCCGCCCCGGTGCATTCCACGGTCAGTTCCCTGCCGCGGCCGGTCGTTGCCAGAGTGTCTCACTAGCTACAGCGTGCGTTTGTGATAGATTGTTATGATGGAGATTGTTTATGAGACCAGTGCCCGACAAGTGATAATTGGACCTGACGTTATAGTTAGAATGTCAATACATGATTGGGCTTTTGTGATGAGCATTGAGCATACCGTTTTGAGCAGTTTGAATCCATTTCGCGCAAAAGAGTTCTCATGACACAATGCAAGTTTGAATCCATTTCGCGCAAAAGAGTTCTCATGACACAATGCAATTCATTAATCATTTCATCATGTGGACACATGAAACAGCGAATTTGGTTGCAGCTCTACAGCCTCTACATATAAAAGCCTCTTGCAAAGCAACCAGTCGCTCACACCCTGACTGGTAACTCCATGTGAATGAAGACACACTGCCCAACAAAGCATCACTTCAACGGCGGAAGTCGGGCCTGGACCCTCGGCTGCACATTCTATGCACAAAACCTCAACAATGCACGAATTAGCACATCACCACTCATAACACGCAGTCCATCGGCTACGCCTGGGTAACTGAGTGCTTTACACCACTGTGTCAGCGCCAGTGATACGGTGATTGGCGGCGCCCACTTATCTGCTTCATCACAAGTTTCGATATGGTGTTCCACCGGGCACCGCTGCAGCTGTTCCGCCGTCCGCCACAGGGGCAATGGTTGTTGCATAATACCAATCAACAGCCGCGAGTGTTGCGCGTCCTACCCTCCCATCCTACATTGAACACCCGTCCAGTCCGTGACCCCCGGTCAGTCGACGGCCTTGACCGGGGGCAGGTCACGCCATCGCGCCTGCGCGCGTCGCAGCACCTCCACGGCGTCGGCGGAGACGTTGAGTGCCGCGTGGATCGGCTTCAGGCCCTCCTGGCCGGCCAGTGAGAGGCCAGAGATGCCTGTCGGTAGTGAAACATGGAACGTCACGAAGGGAAGATACAGTCTTATAGTGCATATAGAACTTAGAAGACCACATATTTAGCATTTCCAATATTGCAACGCAAACTATCAGCCATTCTTAAGGAAGAAATCAGCCAATTTATAGTCAGTAGCATTCAAATACCCAAGTTAACCTACCTATACCCAGGCTAAGCTAACCTAAACATAAACAGGTCTAGCTTTGGGCACCTCTAATGCTTTCGCGGCATAAAAAGCGTTTCCTTCCCTTTCACAACACTCAGCGGGATCACACATGAACTCTCGCCTCAGGTATACATCTCACCTAGGTAGGTGTGCAGGGGGTCGGCGCCGTGTCCCGGCCACTTGGAGAGGCCGCCGGTGATGGGGTCCTGCGCGGAGTAGACAAACTCCCGCAGCAGGTCGGTCCGCACGAACTGGTACGCGTCCAGTAACTGACCGAGAGAAGGGGAGAGGGTATAATATCAGCGGTCATGCAGAATACGAGTTGATTTTTTTCTTAACGAGCTGATATGAAAGGAAGCGTGTAAGAAAATCAAGGTGAAATAGCCTCGACTCCCCGCAAGTTTTGAGTGATCGCCAAAATATGACAGAAACGGCCACCAGCCCAGCCTGACCCTGAGTGATGCGCCGATCCAGAAGGTGTAGCACGAATCCTCTTGTTTGTTGGGTCGGCCGTTGAAGCCCACGCCCTGCCGACTCAGACACCAGAACACCAGGCCGTCTCGCTGCACGTAAAGGAAGAGGAGCGTAGATGATAAGATATAGCAATAATAGCCTCAGCCCTCAGCTCATAGACTCTGTATAGTGTGACAGCTGCAAGCTGCTAACGCAACCACGTTTCCTTTGCAAAATCTGGCTTGCAGATTACAAATATCGCAGTTGCTAATCCTTACGGTAAAATCGAAATACAATCGCATATACAACTACATAATTAGTGAACGGGGTGAATGTCGTTGCCCAAAATTACGACTTCAAGAAACAAACCCTGTCCAACAGGAATCCTTTCTTATTGGCACACAACACGTCTCACATCAGAACGTCATTAACCGGACCCCGGCTTGGTTCGTACCTGTTGCTCAGTCAGCGCCGACTCAAGCTCACCCATCAGCGCGAGCGTCGCCACGGCACAGAAGGTGGAGCCGCCGTGCGACTCGAGTAAGGGTCCCTGTGAGATGCCGTGGTCGTACCTCTGCGAGAGAGAACATAAAAATCGCACAGCCGAACGGATATCGATACAGGCATTATTATCCATGAATGAGTTATCGGGGATGGTAAATAAGATAATATCGATTGTCAATGCACGTCGTCCTGTGTCCTCTAGAGGTGGCAAAAAGTTAAAATTTTGGGAACCAGACTCGAACCAGACCCGTCTGGACATCTCTGGAACCAGTCAGACCCGGTCTAAGTTGGAATCGGAACCAGTTGGACCCGTTCCCAAAGGTTAAATTAATACAAACTTTTTGTAGGGATCATTAGTTGCATCAAGTAAAACAGCCTTTTCCAACTGGGAATACTTATGAGCTACAGCGTGTAAAGAAACACGCATGAGCAAATGTTTTTTTTTTTTTCATTCAGTCCATATTTTGCAATGAGGTGTAGTGTGCAAGGTGTATGGCTTATGGTAGGACCCCGTTGGACCCATCAGAAAAATTCTAGGAACCGGTCTGGACCCATATGGGTCCAGACCAGTTCTTTGGACCGGGTCCTTGGGTCCACATTTTGCCACCTTTAGTATCCTACACTGCTAGTAAAACCAAAATAAGACCACTGCTTCGACGTCCGTGGTTAAAAACCAGCACATTATTAGTTTACACAAACAGTGCTCCGGCCAAACAATGAACCGCACTCCGGCACGCACCATGCTGCGCAGGACGTACTCTCGCGTCTTCTCGCGGTCCATGCCGGACCAGTCGTCCAGCATGTAGGAGACGGCCGCGGCACAATACACGAACCGCATGTCGCTCTCACCGCCGTGCAGGCTGGACAGGAAACTGTAAGGAACAGGGACGCTAATGTCAGACTGAGTCGAACTGAAATCACACAGACTGATGGCATCGCGGTTCGCGAACACTGGCGGAAAAGGGATTCTATGGCGGGATATCGTTAAGAATGACGGCACAGAGACTCAACGTGAGGTAATTTCGTGAACATGACGGCAAATCCTCGATTTTGCGGAAAAAGGACAGCAGCTCAGAGTAATATGAAAATGGCAGCAAAGAGGAACTTTATAACCGACAGTGTATTGAAATTGACGGCCAGTGACATTTGATTATCATAAAGCCAGCGACACTGATTTTATGCGTGACACTCGTGAAAATCGACAGCACAGAGATGCTGTCAGACCTACCATGAAGGCTGATGACCGTTCAAGTACAAACCACGCCGAATGTAAATCACGAATTTGATGTAAAGTTTTCATTCAGCAGCAATCAACATGACAAAGAATGATCACCGGGCTTTTCAGACGTCAAAAACCTGGCTGTCACCGCTGTCACTACCACGTCTGGCATCCGGTACCGGACACTCTGCCAGTCTGTCTGACCGACCTGCCGCCGGGCAGCTGGAGGGCGCGCAGACCGGACAGCAGCGCGGCGCGGTCCACGCGCGACAGGTCGTCACCCAGCACCAGCAGTGTGGCAAGCGCCGTGTACGTCATCGTCACGTGGCTGCAGTCCCACTGGTTGAGCGGAGCGCCGGACGAGTTGGCCGGTGAGCCGCGGAAACCCGCGCGCGACAGGTCGCCGTCTGAAAACAAGAGTCGGGGTAAGTTACTATAGTTCGTTTTTTTTTTCAAAAGGACGCTGGCTCCAAGTATGTATTACGAACAAGCACGTGTTTTAGCGAGCAAAACGAGCAAAAACTGAACCTGAGAAAATCGAACGTCGACTAATTTTAACATGTGATTTCTTCCCGATAATTTCCATATGTGCGTTTTGGAACCAGATATGAGAACAGTGGTGACGTCATGCTGTCGAACACGTATTGCAATGTAACGTATAACTATCATGGATGAAACCGCTTACTCGATTATAAGCTCGACAACAGTGAAAAACTAAGTTTCACCCAAATTCGTTGACACTTGTCCCATTGCACGGACATTTGGGTGCCTGCTGCCACCAGTGACGTCATCATAGTATGTTCATTTTTAAGAAACAGTTTCCAGCTACTTACCGTGCACAATTTGAAATCGCTTATTTTTTCGGTAAGAAATTCTTGGCCAGACACTGAAGCTGCCAAAACTCACGTGAGAGCTTCGCTATTGAACTTTGAGCCAGCGTCCTTTTGAAAAAAAAAACGAACTATAGTTCACTAAAAATGACAAATAGCATGGAAATCACACTATTCAAGCACGATTGCCTGAAATCAAACAGGTCAAATCATTGCCTGCTTTAGAAATAACAAGAAGTTCTAGGCATCAATTCCACACACAGGTCCTTGAATTCTTGAAATTATATATTTGCTTATCAGAGTGGGGTGTTATAGATTATAAATTCACCACATAGAGCTCACCACATAGTTCAGAGGTAATTTGTTGCCTGTAGACCCACTCAATAACACTTTGTTTGTCCTGGACGAGATCCAGTTGTCCCAGCAGATCCAAACCAGATACAGCATAAAACAGCAGTGTCATCCTGAAAACACACAATATCGTAAAAGAGTACCAACAATTAAGCACCTTGCAAACATTGCTGACATGTATATCAGTAGGGAGGCCACAGAACTAATAAATGCAGGCATTTTTCCAGTGAAAGGACAAACTATCACTGGCTGCCTTTAGGTCCTGTTGCCTAGAAATGTAATCAGAAAAGTCAGGACTCAGGAGTCGGACACATGCAAAAATGTAGCATGTGACAAGGTTGATCTCTTTGAATCATTAAAGGCATAAGAAAATGTTTGATATAAATCCCATTGATAATCAAGGCAATATCTTCAGGTTAGCTATATATTATTAAAGCGACAAAGGGCCAATAGAACATCTTTTAGACACTGGTCAATGACAGAAGCCCTGATAAAGCTGCAAAGATGCTAATTATTTCACTAGTCTGGTGGAGTCTAATTCTATAGCTGTAGGTATTCTGTAGCTGCATAAATTAGGTAAGTTAGTAATGGGTAGGAATGGACGGAAACAAGCAAGGGCTACAACACAGCATACACAGTACACACACACGCACACAAAAAAAACTTTATAATCTCAATCTGCAGTGGTATGCTAGATAAGCTTTGATACTTCATTCATATAAGTCAATCAGATGCAAAGAGATTGCCTGGTCACCAATTTCACACCAAAGATTAGCAGCAACCAAGGCCCTATAGCAGCTGAGCCTGGCCTTCACCCATCCATTCAACCAATTTGACTTCATTTATAAAAAATCATGCTGTAATAAGCATTAATGTACATATTCACTAAAATTATAATTTCTTAACTGACCACATTATTGTTGATGCTTGCCATACATTTGACTTCGTCTTTGTCAAATATATAGAAAGATGTTACACAAACAGGTCTTTTGAGGTACCATCAAAATCATGCAGAACAGCTCCAAAACATACCTGCTGGTATCTAAGGAGGTATACTCTCCCGGAATGGAGTCCATACAAAATTTAAAATACCTTGCATGTCTCTTGTGCAAGAACTCCATCATGCAATATCTGCAAAAGGAAGAGGTCAACACCGTGGTGATATTTATCAAAATAAGGCATTTAGCATAGATGACTAAGGGAATATATGAATATATCATTCTTAAGCAGCTAGTAGGGTATTTGAAAGCTGCAAATTTGACTTGTTTCAATTTAAATACCTGGGTCAGGATTTAATTACACATGCAACAGGTTAGTTAATTGCTCATTTCTGAGTCACTACTGAGTACTGGATGTTTAATAATTTGGTAAAATATGTGCAAAATTAAAGCATTTATTTGAAACCATGAAGTACTTCATTGTAGATTCACATCCACATACCTGTGGTCACGTAATTTTACAATGAAAAATACAATTCAGGTTATTATTATTCTGCAGGACAGCTTAGTCAATGGTAAATAGAATACTGGAAATATTTGGGTAATAACGAATTCTAATTACAGGCTACAACTGATTCTCGTAAGTTTGTGACTATCGTGAGCCGTGACACAATCTTTAAAAAGCTCCTAACTGGACAAATCCTGGCAATGCATTTCCTTGTCCTATGGATTACTTAGTTCCATTCCCTGGCCATGACAAGAAGGAAGATAAGATGTAGGCAGACATAGCACAAGCTGCCACAGGCGATTCCTGCCAGAGTACATAGAATTCATGCCTCCTGGGAATGAATGGAAAGTCAAACAGGAAATTTCAGAAGATGATATTTTCAGCTGGCCAGTGAAAGGGTATTGAGGCTTCACATTCACATTTTTAAAGAGTCTTAAGTGATAAGACAGGTTAAAAAACCTACCGCCCTGCCCCCATTAAACATGGATAAAGAAATTGAAATAACATTAACAGTTAAAGGGACCCTCCCACCTTCAAAAAAGTTAATGAATTGGCATGAAAGTGATGTTGCTCAGTTCATCAAACGAATCCTACCAAAGAAAGAGCGAAAACGAATCCTACCAAAGCAAATTTCATAAAAAATATTCACCGGTTTTCAAGATATTACTTTTACTTTTGTTTACTTTTTTGGATCTCCACTGATCCTAGAGACTTAATATGAAACTGCGGCACTTGTTGCGAGCAAATCAGCATATACCACCACGTGCTACCAAACATTTTAGTAAAAGATTTAAAATCGTTTGACCTGTGCTGACGTCACACATTCAGAGGGGGCATTCTAATGTACTCCCTCTGAATCCAAGTGCTGCAACTTTGAAATTTGATATTTTCGATTTGAGGCATTTCTCAATTCTCAATCTTAAAATCAAGAAATGCCTCAAATCGAAAATATCGGATACTCACAAGTCACAATGAGTGCTCAAACCGGTAAGTGCAAGCCAGGGACCCCATTTTGGCTACCTAAACTCAAAACAAATCAGGCCGCATCAAATCAACTGACATGCGGCTGACATGAATGAAATGGTGGGATCAAAACTATGACGGGATGGTCACTTTAACACAAATTCTTCACCAGCCAGCCATCACGCTCATCAAGACAACGCTATTGGTGTAAATTTTCTGAAAGAGCGAGGGAGCGCAAGGTCTTGAGAACATTTTACAATCCCCAATGACTTACCTAACATAAATGCAGTGCCTGTAATATTTCCTCTAAACACACAAATTTAATTATTTTAATAACTTTTAAGTTGTAACTAGCTTCCAAGCTTGGAAGTGGCATTATTTACAATGGCGCATTTTAAGCATTTTATACTTTTGATACCTGTTTCATTTTAAGCATCGACTGCTAGTTTTCCCATATATGGAAGTTTATCGTTTGCATTTCTAGGCCTCTTATTGGTGGACCTTACAGACTACGAAGATTTGACCAATGAGAGGTCCAAGGCCATCGAGAGGTCCGAAAATACTAGTACGCTGTCACAGTAATCGAACAGAATACAAGTTGTGTTATTATGTTTGCCGGCCGGCTAGAGCGCTGTTCGGCAGCCGGCTATTTTGTGTGCAGGGTATGACGTATTTCGCGAGCCGACGTCACAGGCGGTGACGTCGGCTCGCGCGCGAGCCGAGCGCCAACGACAAACTAACGGGAACCCTCGGACACCCTCGGGACATAAACCGCGGAGTAGCATATTAAGCGAGTCTTATAAGGAAAATTCATATATTTTCGTTTCTCAAATGATAACCAGTATAACGCCTTTTGGGGCGACTAACGGAGCGAGCGAGAGGGTGGGCCTTGCACGTGCGAAATTGCGAGGGGGTACCTCCAACTGACTTGTGCACGGCACCCTACTAACTGGTCTCTAGCGATGTGCCAAATTTGGGCACAATCGGCCCAGGCGTTCTCGAGATCTGGAAGCGGCACCCTGCACGTGCGCACGTGCAAAATGGGTCCCAACTGACTTGTGCACGGCACCCTACTAACCGGTCCCTAACCGTGTACCAAATTTGAGCGCAATCGGTCCAGCCGTTCTCGAGATCTGGAAACGACCCCTGCACGTGCGCACGTGCAGCAGCACCCCAACTCTGGCACATGGATATGCAGTGCCTAGTGGGTGCCTACCTACTTGCCAACTTTCAGCGCAATCGGCCAAGTAGTTACCGAGATATTGCAACAATTACAAAAGTGACACCTCTTCGTTTTGCACGTGGCACGTGCATAAGGGGTCACCCACATGCATCGGGAATAGTCCAATACTTGGTAGAAGGAATGAAGCTACCCTACAAAAATTACCGCGTGTAAATCGGTCAAGTGGTTGCTGAAATATAAGCCTCGCAAAAGCGTGACCACGGCCGGCCGGCCGGCCGGCCGGCCGCTCATACTCAGAAATTTCCGTTAATCTAAGGAAAGACTACGCTCGCTTCGCTCGCTCCGTAATCAGGGTGTCTCTTACCTTTTCACATATCATTTAGGCCTACCTAACACTTCAGTTGCCAAATATCTGCAATTTATTCAAGCGAAGGTATTTTCAGTAAATATCAATGGTATAGACCGAAATCTTTTGAATAAAAACTCCAACCAACAGAAATAAAAAGAACTTAATTTATTCCAACCATTTCCTCCAAATAAACAACATAAAAACTCACTTTTACACACATCATTCATAATAAAGCATACTAACACGCCGCTTTTGACAATTGCGGCGTCAAGTGGCGCGCTGCTAGCGCTCTTTTTCGATCGCAGAGACCCTGCACGCGCGCGAGCACACTACGTCACGTCCGGGGGGCACAGGTATATGAAAAATCGCAGTGACGTAACACTTTTCTCGCTTCTCATTGGTCAATAGCCCGTTGCCGGGGTAACGTGCACGTATGTGAGCGCGGGCAAGAGTACTAGCCGGAGCGCTGTTCGGCAGCCGGCTATTTTGTGTGCAGGGTATGACGCATTCCGCGAGCCGACGTCACGGGCGATGACGTCGGCTCGCGCGCGAGCCGAGCGCCAACGACAAACTGACGGGAACCCTCGGATACCCTCGGGGCATAAACCGCGGAGTAGCATATTGAGCGAGTCTTATAGGGGAAATTCATATATTTTCGTTTCTCAAATGATAATCAGGGTGTCTCTTACCTTTTTACGTATCATTTAGGCTTACCTAACACTTCAGTTGCCAAATATCTGCAATTTTTTCAAACGAAGGTATTTTCAGTAAATATCAATGCTATAGACCGAAATCTTTTGAATAAAAACTCCAACCAATAGAAATAAAATTAACTTATTTCATTCCAACCATTTCCTCCAAATAAACAACATAAAAACTCACTTTTACACACATAATTCATAATAAAGCATACTAACACGCCGTTTTTGACAATTGCGGCGTCGAGTGGCGCGCTGCTAGCGCTCTTTTTCGATCGCAGAGACCCTGCACGCGCGCGAGCACACTACGTCACGTCCGGGGGGCACAGGTATATGAAAAATCGCAGTGACGTAACACTTTTCTCGCTTCTCATTGGTCAATAGCCCGTTGCCGGGGTAACGTGCACGTATGTGAGCGCCGGCAAGAGTACTAGCCGGCCGCCGATCAGGGCTCGGCCGCCGATCAGTTGCCCGCGCTCACATACGTGCACGTTACCCCGAGCGCTGTTCGGCAGCCGGCTATTTTGTGTGCAGGGTATGACGTATTTCGCGAGCCGACGTCACAGGCGGTGACGTCGGCTCGCGCGCGAGCCGAGCGCCAACGACAAACTAACGGGAACCCTCGGACACCCTCGGGGCATAAACCGCGGAGTAGTATATTGAGCGAGTCTTATAAGGAAAATTCATATATTTTCGTTTCTCAAATGATAATCAGGGTGTCTCTTACCTTTTTACATATCATTTAGGCTTACCTAACACTTCAGTTGCCAAATATCTGCAATTAATTCAAGCGAAGGTATTTTCAGTAAATATCAATGGTATAGACCGAAATCTTTTGAATAAAAACTCCAACTAACAGAAATAAAAATAACTTAATTTATTCCAACCATTTCCTCCAAATAAACAACATAAAAACTCACTTTTACACACATCATTCATAATAAAGCATACTAACACGCCGGTTTTGACAATTGCGGCGTCGAGTGGCGCGCTGCTAGCGCTCTTTTTCGATCGCAGAGACCCTGCACGCGCGCGAGCACACTACGTCACGTCCGGGGGGCACAGGTATATGAAAAATCGCAGTGACGTAACACTTTTCTCGCTTCTCATTGGTCAATAGCCCGTTGCCGGGGTAACGTGCACGTATGTGAGCGCGGGCAAGAGTACTAGCCGGCCGCCGATCAGGGCTCCGGCAACGGGCTATTGACCAATGAGAAGCGAGAAAAGTGTAACGTCACTGCGATTTTTCATATACCTGTGCCCCCGGACGTGACGTAGTGTGCTCGCGCGCGTGCAGGGTCTCTGCGATCGAAAAAGAGCGCTAGCAGCGCGCCACTCGACGCCGCAATTGTCAAAAGCGGCGTGTTAGTATGCTTTATTATGAATGATGTGTGTAAAAGTGAGTTTTTGTGTTGTTTATTTGGAGGAAATGGTTGGAATAAATTAAGTTATTTTTATTTCTGTTGGTTGGAGTTTTTATTCAAAAGATTTCGGATTTCGAAGAGACACCCTGATTATCATTTGAGAAACGAAAATATATCAATTTTCCTTATAAGACTCGCTCAATATGCTACTCCGCGGTTTATGCCTCGAGGGTGTCCGAGGGTTCCCGTTAGTTTGTCGTTGGCGCTCGGCTCGCGCGCGAGCGACGTCACCGCCTGTGACGTCGGCTCGCGAAATACGTCATACCCTGCACACAAAATAGCCGGCTGCCGAACAGCGCTTTGACGATGATTTTTTTTAGCATGCGCTTTTAATGACGTCATTGGCCAGTGTAGGCCTCTGGTAAAGCTGTAAAGCCGCTTTTTTCATTTTTGCTGATTTTGCTTGTTGATTATCTTGTATCAGTATAGGATCCACAGAGTAAGGCTTAAGGCGACCCAAAGCATTTAACAGAAATCAGGGTGAGTAGCTCAATCTCAAATCTCAAACATAATTTTGCAATGTTCTCAGGGTGATTCATACCTAAAGCCTAAAGGCACATTTGTAGCAATATAATTATAGATAAATGGGGTTGATATGTGTATTCTATGAAAAACATGTTAAATTGAGGTGAGGATAGAGCTGGGACCACAATTCAGTCTGAAAGGTACCTACTACCTATCCAGGTCGCTTGGTCTTTGTTGCGGTATCAGTATATAGGGCCTTGTTTGTTGCTGTCTCTACATCTTAGGACAAGGAGGGCCTTGGCCTGCACATCACATTGGGCATATGAAGAGGGAAGGTCAAATCTGCATAAATCCTATCAGGTCACAGGATCTTCTGCCTTGCATGGGGCTGACTGCCAGGTCAATCATGTGTTAGGACTGAAATAAAGGAAAAGGACTTAACTGAAATAAAAAACTCCAGCTGTCAATCTTGTGAAAGGTGTCCTATGTGTGAACTGTGAACTGCTTTGTTTTTATTTGCTGGGGATAGTTCCTGCCCATCATTGTCATTATTAACAATTACAGGACTTGTTTATAAATGCTTGCTGCATTAGAACACCTGCTTTTAGTTACAACACAAGGGGTCTGGAACAGCTGCATGAGGCTTGCAGTTGATTCATCTAACCCAGCTGTGTACCTGTCCTATAACCTGACATTGTTGCAGGACACAATGAAGCTTGAGAAGACCTGACACTGCTAAGACAGTCTACCTGTGATTGCAGTTTGCACTACCTTTGAGAATCTGAAACCATTGCTGAAGATACAGTAATTGGCTGTTGGAGGTCTATCAAAGAACCTGGCACCTGGTGCTGGCTCAGCCATGCTCAGTGTGCTGACTGACTCTCCTGTGGCACCACTGGTGCTGCTGGTGCTGACCTGCTGTGTTGGTGATCTGGCCCTGCACCTGACGGCCGCCGCCAGCCCCTGCTGGCCGCGCGCAGTGCTCGATACGGTCACACACGGCCTGGTGGCGCTGTTCGCGTGGACGGCCGTCACCTGGAGCACTGTCAGCTGGAGGCTCGCCGGGCTGGCCGGCTTCTGCGGCGCCGTGATCGATCTGGACCACGCGCTAATGGCCGGGAGCCTGAACATCGAGGTGAGCAGGCGAGGAAGCACGATCTAACTTCTCATGCGTTTCTAGAAAACATCAGTCATAGGCGGAGGTTGCACCACCATATGACGTTCAGGGATGTCCGAGCCTGGAGCCATCTCGTATGTCGGTTTTGTTTTACCACGTAACGTAGGTACTGAAATGTCCACCGTTTATTATTTTCATGGAATACGATCCCATCGTCATATCCTCCGTTTCCCGGCACATCTTTCTGCACTCCGACATCGGTGTGCGTTCAGCGTTGACCGTCCATGCCGTCCTCAGGCGCTGGTGAGCCTGCCGTCGCGGCCGCCGCTGCACGCCACCAGTCCGTGGCTGCTGCTGCTGGTACCGCTGGCGTTGGGTGGCCGCGTCTGGCGCACCGGCGCCGCGCTGCTGCTCGCCGCTGGACTGTCACACCATCTCCGTGACGCCGGTCGGCGCGGCCTGCTGCTGCCGCCTCTCGGCTCCACGCCGCCGCTGCCGACACCGGTCTACCTGACTCTGGAGGTGGTATTGTGTCTGGGCCTGCGGCACGCGCTAGGTAGTGCCACTGCCCCCGCTGCTGGTCGGACGGTCTCGGACGCAGCGCGGTTATTGTCTGTGTGATTGGAGGTGGTAGGTCTCGGGTGAACCAGACAACGGACGATGGATCGATATCTGTCGCATGACGGGCTACCGTGTATTTAACGGGTATGCGATGCTTGCGAGAACCATATTCATTATTTATTGTTGGAAAAGTTATATAGCTGTCGAGCCGACTTACTTCTTAGTACTTCAAGTACCGAAAGGGCTGTGAATTGCTGATGTTCAGTGGTCGTTTCGTTATGGTGTTGGGTAGGGCTATTCCGCCTCTTTCATTGCGCATCTGTGATAACTCCTACGTCCTCTAGATCTGCCGGTCAATTTTCGCGTTCGCTACCAAAGATCGGACTGCCAGCATACAGACCCTTTTGTACTGTGCCCTGTCCATTCGCACTGCACTGTGTTTGTTATTAAAATGAATATCAATGTGACAATTGCGTTTGCTGTTTTCCGTGCCTCATTTGCCTTTGACCTGTCGTACACTGCCACTACGTCAACAGACAATAGGTAGCTGGGTCGATTGGTCATGTATTTATCCCGTGAGCCATCCTACCATACTAAGCATACACTCGCCGGACGTCGCACCGCACTCAATACCGAATGAACTTTCTAAGCACTATCGGCTTTAAAATGGACACATGGCATGCTCAAGGACATCAGATACCCCAGCATATTCTCACTCGCATTCAGACTCCCAGTCACATGTATACTGTGAAAACCACGTCGAACACATCTGATACATACAGACTAAAACGAGACACACATTTCACATTGGTTCGTATTCACAGGGAGCTAATAGCTCTCTCGGGCGGCTCACTGCCACCATAACCGAGCACCATTATTCCACCAGGGCGGATATCTTCTGGTATGCCTCTGTAGCTCCGACCTTCTTCAGGACAGCAGCGATACTCTTCAGCGATTCGCTGTGAGGAACGTAAAAAGGAAGGTCAGAACTCGTACGGCAGAGGGGTATTACAACAGATACTGTTACGTGCCGAGCACCTATCTACAAGGAACAACATTACGCGCGCGACTGGCGAGGAAGTGCGACAATGCGTATTATGTAAGGGCATGACAATCGTATTTATCACGACATGACAACTGTATCACCAGTGGATATCCAAGACCTACATCAGGCTGTTTTCATTACCCCGAATAAGATGAAGAGGCCCACATGCATCAGCCGGGGCAATGTAGCCAAACGTTTGACGAACTCAAATTACATCAGAAGCTTGTTTTGCGACAAGGAGATAATTTATCCGATACCACCAGTCGGATGGGCTAGGGATCGCCTCGTGGCGTGAATGATTGGTTCAAGTTTGATTACACTCCACAGTGCACCACTGCCGTGCAGTTCCCCCTTTATAACAACCCTCTCCACCCATAGAAAAGGCCGCATCAAAAGCAGCAAGTTATTGGACGTGTCCATGACTTACGCTTTGTTGGCGGCCTTGCCGAGCTGCACGGCGAGCATGGAGAGGTAGCTGACGAACATGGCCAGCTGGGGCACTGTGGTGTCACCCTGGAACCAGCTGCGCGGCAGCGTGTTGGCCACCTGGCGGAAAAACGACGCAATCAGCGGATGTTATCGCATCAAATACAGTCCAATAGCGGGACGAATCATACATTATTGAATATTGGGCATATTCACCGATACCACCTCCAGCATAATTACAAACTCAGTTCATACAATCCTCAGCTCGACTCGCGCATACGGCTGAATCGCAAGGTACACCACGCATTTCCCCACAAACAACTACCAATCTCCCCTCCTGCCATCGTTGACCCGTCCCCCTCGCTCGCCTATCCAATGCATTCCCCTCAGCCACCGTTCACCACTCACCAGCCGGCACCGGTTGGCCGCCTCCACGGGGTCCGGCACCTGAGTCAGCGGCAGCAGCATCTGCTCATTGAGGAGCGTCCCCAGCGCCAGTTTCTGCAGCGCTCCGTCCGACAGCAGCTCCGTCCAGCTCATCATGTTGCCCAGCAGTTTCACGCAGGTGGTGAATTGTCTGTAGAAGAAGGCGGCGGCCGGCGTGGAGCGGCTCTCCAGCTGCTGTTTGGTGAAGCGCGGAACGGACGCGTCCTGGCGCACTGTCTCGGTGAACGCGGTGACGACTGCCTCGAGGAGGCGGCGCAGAGGACCGCTGCCGCCGGTGACGGTAGGGTAGTCGCGCGCCAACTGACGCACCAGGTGCACCAGCCGGAGTGTTTGGGAACTGGACAGCGGGTCCCAGACGCGCTCCACCAGCGCTGCGGGACACAAGCAACCGAGTTAGTACGTAAGAGTAGTGAAGAAGGAAGCATGGTTAGCGAATCGACAAAACAGGTACACTCTTGGGGCAACAATTCACAGGCAACTGACACTCAGCTTCTGCTGAATAGAAGAAAAACACTTCTTCCCGAGCTTTACACTAACGCTAGGTACACTTAATGATCTCCTTTCCTTACTTCTGACTGAAGGGAGGACACTGGACAGTACACAATACAATACACTAGACCACCACGCGGCTAGACGGTGTATCACACTCTACACGTACCGGTGATTTTGGTCAGCACCACCCTCTCGACGACGCGCGACACCAGCAGACAGTCGGGGTCGTCGCGGATAGAGTCCTCCGTCTCGGCGGTCGGGTCCGAGCCGACTCCGAACATCACCAGCTCGGCGAACCACGGCCGGCTCTCCAGCTCCGGACACTCCTGGGGAACACGGAAACGAAACATTGTGACTTCGTCCGTGACAAACGTCCCGTGAATAAGGATACCAAAACTGTCCGTTGAACACTGATGCTGGGAGATAAAATAAGGTAATTATTATGGGGCACACTGTAATAAAACGCTACAAAACGCAGCCAAGACGAATATTTCGCTCAGGTCACTCAAATCTACATTTCGTCGGAATGAAGCAAACGTTGAACGACCGGGATGACACAGGACTATCCATCCCTCATCTCGGCCCATATTCTTTCATATCTTCGTCAGGCTCATGGTCTCATCTCACGGTACTTATGCCTTTGCCAACCCCTTCAAAGCGTCCCCCATCTAACCCCATTTCCAGTCGTCCCTTATCCAACCCCTCCCCACTCATCCCTCATCCACCCTACTCCCTTTCCCCCATCACTCACGCCTTCGGTCAGCGGGTTCCATCCGATCATCTGCAGCCGCACCAGCGGCGCCAGCGCCTTGGGCAGGCTGAGGTTGACGAACGCGTCGCGGTACGCCTGCGGGTCGATGCGCCGCCACTCGAGGAAGTGGCGACAGACGCCGGCCAGCGTGCTGAAGTCATCCTCCACGTCCTCCATCACAGCCTCAGCCGCCTCCATGATGGCCTCTGTGAAATGTCCGGACAAGGAGAGTCAGGAGAAGGGAGGAATATGTTAGAGATGGTACGACACGGCATAGAACTGAGAGCTCGCGTCCAATATCGTTAAGAAACAGTGAACAATGTTACATAACTATATTTTCAAAGAAATATCGTTAGAGTCGTTACATGAATGCAGAATGCCTGTAGGTCTGGAAATCGGCAGCAGGTAGGCAAAACTACGCCTAACAGGCACGTTCCGTCATTCAATAAGAGAACTGTTCGCTGTCCCAATCTCCATGCTCAATCAACTTCCGCTTTCACCCACTTCCCTCGCTACCACCTTTATTTTACCCAGTGTTCACAGAGCTCGTCCGTATCTCACCTCCATCCTTGGTGAACTTCTCGCCGTCTGCCGGCGCGGTCTCGTCATCCGAGCTGAGACCGTCCTGGTGGTCTGCGCCGCCGGCCGCCGACAGTTCGCGCGCGCGGCGCCGGCGGGTGCGGCGACCCTCGCGCTCGGCGGCCCGTCTTCGCCGAGAGGCCACCTCCTCAGCTGACTGCTCCGAGAAATGGATACCGGACCGCTCTGCCCATGCCGAGGCCGGTGAAATGTCAGCGGATATAATGGTGGTGGGAGCAGGTTGGGGTATCGGGCATTCGGAGGCGCTTTTCACTTTACACAGCTCTAAGTCCTATCCTACCGCAGTGCACTTACAATTACTCTATAGTGTATTTACATACGTAAAACATACCTAAACGGCAAAAACGAGGGTAACGCAATCGTCAGCAATGAAACCGTCAAAATTACATCAACGTTACGCTACAACCAACCTAAAACTGAAGCTATCGCATTACATTATTAGGATTAATCCGTGCAAGCAATGGCAGAAGGCGTTTGATTGCACTACTATATACAGCCATACCTCAAATACGGACTTGCCAAGCAAAAATCTGAAAGGTGTGCACGTAGGTTTTCTGCAACAATAGCACGTCGTTGGGAACTGCTAGTTAAATCATGAATGCTCCCGGTAAAGGATCACTTGAAGCGGGGTGTGTCTGATGGTGACCATTGCAAACGAATAGCTTGTGTATAACAAATAAATGTAACATTACAACTCCTGTACGCTCTTATGTAGCTTACCATGGTCTAAGCAAAAGCTTTCATTGATCATTTGAAATATTTAGGAAAGAACTATGATAAAAAATGTAAGTACATTATGAAAAACTAGCCGATCAGCCACAGTGAATCTCTACCTCACTAGGTCAACTTCGATACCCTAATGGTAGAGCAAGTCCAGCTCTACACCGTTTCTGTGTAACGCCTACTCTCCTTCCTACCCTCTTTGACAACCTATCACGCCCCAGACCCTAAACTCACGTGTGCTGGCGTCCAGTTCCATACGCTGGTCGCGCACATCCGTCCGCCGGCGCACGATCAGTTTCTGCGCGCGCGCCCGCTGTACCTCCAACATACGGTTCTCGAGCTCCTCAATCAGCGCCATCTGTTGAGAGAAGGGCGAGTCAGCGGGAGGCGGGAGGACGGTGCGCGGTGGGGCGGGCGGACGGAGCACGGGCTCCGCCACCCGCCGCGTCCGTCCCCGGGCAGGGCCGGCGGTGTCACTCCGCTCTAGAAAGAACAATTGATTTGTACATGGACTGCAGGCTACATACCCACTCAAGGACTCAGTTGAGCGATGCTAAAAAAGTTATTCATCGCTCATCTGTTATTACGATGCTTTTTTTTTACTCCAAGGCCGCCTCCGAAATGAATACCGTACATCAATTTGTATTTCAGATTTCGAGGTAGGAAGCAAAGTGAAATGTCAAGTTATTTGAGCGGAGTGACGGTACCGGTCCTGCCCCGACAGACGCATGAATATTGTTTGGATAAATCGGCGTCCGGTCTCAGCTCGCCTGCTCCTGAGGGGCGGAATGGTAAAAATAGCGCTTGTAATTACAGCGGCTACAGTCATCCCGAAATGAAAGAGTGAATAGTGGGCGATACTGGAACACGACACGGCAGTTGCTTCACCAGCTGCAGTCTAGCCTGTGGGATATTCAGCCACAACGGTATCATCAAAAGATATTTACTATCTAAAGCAAATCAGAAGGACTTATTGGAAGGATAATAACGAGGATGCGGGAAGCTAACAAGCATCATTAGTCTCGACTATCGTTTCATCCTTAAAAAAAATCATGATCAATGAATGTAGATCGAACCTTTTGGATGGAGCGTTCCAATTGAAGATGGCAGAGCTCACGAGAGGAAAAGTTATGTCCGAACTCTGCGTTCCGATAAGGTGTTCCAAAAAGTCCAATAAAGTTACGAGAATTTAAAAAGCAGAGATGAGCCAAGCTTTCGTCGACGGATTGGTCTCTAATTGACTAATTTCAAGCAAACGCACCTGCTCCGCCCAATTGAATTCCCGCCCAACAATTTCCAAACCGAGTAAGCCCGGCGGTCTGGCGACTCAGTCGCGTAAAGGATAGACTGACAGAAGCATACTACATACATTACACACGCTGTTAGTATGCGTTTATGTCTAATAGCAAGAATATCACGACTTATTTATATCATAGGCAAAGAAGGAATAGGAGTGAGGAAAACACAACGGGCGCAGCTGGCAGACGAGGCTCTGCGAAGAAGTGAGCAAAAACAAAATGGTCAACATAAAAACCCTTGTTATCAATCGGAAACGCTTCAGCGCCAATTTTGGCTGACAAAAAAATCACATTTGGGAAGGAGAGCGGCGCATACAGATGCCAAAAGAAGTTCCCCAGGGCTACCAGCTGGTGAAGATAATTTCGAATAAAATGCATCAGCTTGAAGGATTTCAGCCCCAAGCTAAATAATTACTAGCTCCCAGAAAGCCACTCCCGTAAAAATATACAGGTAAGCAGGTTTGAAAAGTTGCTTATGGATGTGTGCCGAAATTATGTTACGGCAAACTGCAGAAAGTAGCCTACACATATCGTTGTGTAACTTTGTGCAGAGGTAATGGCAGATGGATATAAAGACATTATCCGTACGACTTGGTAATCGCAAAAACATGGGAAGGTTAATTTGGAGACCATTGCCGCGCTTTATAAAATTCCCAGAAAGACAGCCACCGCCGCCAGTCAAACCGACAACACCATCCCACCAAAATCCATAGAGAGTAAGAGCCGAGTTTTACATACCTTTTCGTTAAAGCACTCTATCAGATCTGTGACATACCCACGGATATCTTGGTAGTACTGGTATCTTCTGGCTGCGCGCGGGGCGGCCCGCTCGAGCCGGTCAATCTCCGATTGACCCGACACGAGGTCATCCAGCGTGCGGTCCCGGCCGGTCACGTGACCGTCCTGGGCGAGCCGCAGCTCCGACAGCCTGGCCGCACCACGTGACTCCCGTCAACGGCTGACCAGAACGGATCGAACATGGATACAAACAGGCATGGCTTCTGGCAGAAGCAGACAATAAAATTCGGACAGATGTTCACAAGGACGAGGTCACGAGGGGAGAACGAAGTAAGAGGAGGGCCTGCTCCACGATGAACACACAACGCAAGAACAAAAACTCCCAATACTCCACCTCAGGAACTGAAAAAATTACCACCTATTCACAAAACATCAAAGCACAAATAAATCACAGGCACGAAAATGACGTAACAGCATCCACAACAGGACAACTCGGTAATTACACTTAACTCTCACATTGATAGACAGGCAGACATACAAAACATACAGACATACAGATGGACACACAGGGCAGCCAACTGCGGCCACCACGTCCATCCGCGGACGGTTCCGCCGTCTGCGCTCGGCCCCGGCACCGTACTTTTGCTGGAGCCTCTGTCGCACAGCGTCCGGCGTGAGCTCGGCCAGCGGACGGCGCTGGCGGCGGCCCAGCGGGTCGGAGAGCCGCGCCGCGGCCGCCGCCGCCGCGCCAACCTCGTCCTCGCCGGTCGGCAGCAGGTAGTGTTCGGCCGTCACCGACGCCATCTAGGAGGAGAGGAGGGAAAGAGGTTATTGATTGAGGCTGCAGTGAGGACGCTATGTGGGGAATACCGTGATACAGGCATATGTAAATAAATTGCAGGGATGCACGAGTAAGTTACAGTTTGTGATACATTCTGGTGGTTTTAAAAGTTCACAAGTACATCCTGAGCATGTAAAGTACGATATGAAATCATAGGTCTTGTCGAAATGTCAAAATGCTAAATTCTTCTATTAGATAGTGAATGGTTGTAAGCGTGATATCAACTTGGATCGTACCTGAGCGCCCGAGAAGGCCTTTTTGATCTGCTGGTTCTCCCATTGCGCCAGCTCCCTGTCATCTTCATCTGATGCTCGTCCACCCTCTGCAAGATACAGCCGATGGATGTAAAGAACGAAGTTATTTGATGCTTACCATCCGGGTTACTCAGAGTCCAGATAACCCCAAAACTTGGGTAAGTGCAAGTAAACATTCAACTGGCAGGTATCACCATCTCATCCTGAATGTTGCCATGACAGACAGCGAAGAAACACACTACCCACATCCCAGGGCAAGACATTGGCTGTTGCGACGACATACCCTGATCGCGCGCTGCGTTGAACTGGTCCCGCCTTGCCTCCCGGTCCCGTGCCACGGTGCTGACAGTAAAGTTCACGCGGTCGTCCTCTGGGCCACTGTCATCATCCTCTCGTTGTGCAGAATGGCCGGCCGCCGAGCTGAATGGAAACAGAGAAAGGTGGTGAGAGGGAGACGTTAGACACTTTTCGTCTCATACTTGTCAATATCAATGATAAGCATGAAAATGATAAGCATGATTTGTGATTTTAGGGCGCCCAGATCTCAGAGGTCTTGGCTCTTTTATAAATTTAGCCCGAACGTTTGAGACTGTGGATGGATTAACAGAGCCGGAGCCCACGCTAAGCAGTTTGTCACGTAGCAGCACTTTTCAACATCGTCAACATTGTTCAACATCGTGACTTTGAACTTATTTCTCAGCTATTTTCTATAGGCACATTGCAAATTATATCATATTCTACCACCACAGCTGCTAACCTGTTTCCCTCAGAGTTGATGGGGATGAACTCGGGCGCCGCCTCGTGTTGTCGCCGCGCCTGCTCCCTTCGTTTACGGGCCGCGTGGATCATAGCAGCGTCTGGGATGGCACCGCCTACAGGAAGAAGATTTAAGTGGGTTAGAGTTAACTGCTGGAGTGGCTGTTGAGGACAATATGCTGTCTGGGAGCTAGGAGCTGAGCGAGGCTCGGTGGTATGCAGACAGCATTGTCCACTGTGTAGCAAGAAAGGAACCAATACATTTCGATGTGACCTGCATGTCTGTGGATAGGCAGCTACTGCATCAATCCAGCAAGTGCAATAAGGGGGAAATACACAATGCAAGCACACACTAGATAAATGAGGACGAACGCACTCAGAAAATAAAACATCCATATCCATTTGTGCTCCTCTCACCTTTGAGCACTCTGTCAAACGAGTCGCGCGGGGTGAAGGCGTGCTGTCCGGGCGGTCCGCGGCCGGCCGTCTTGCTCGGTTTCTCATCGTCTGAGCTGTGATAGCCGGCCATCTCAGCATCTCTGCCACTGAGGATGGGCGGCTGCGGCGGAGGCCGGCGCACCGCCGCGCTGTCGGGCGCCGGACTGGCGCGGGGAGACATGGGCTCGCTCTGCAGGTGAATGATGGGGAGCGGGTCAGACTATAACAGTGGTAGAGAGAGATGAGCTGATAAGGCCAGTAGTCCAGTGCAAAAGGCAGATTGGTTAGCTTTAGAAAGGTCAGTAGTACTCAGTACCCATAAGGTAGGTGCAAGGATGCTGATAAGTCACAACAGCAAAATGAGGGGTACAGTAGTTGGTATTTGCAAACTAGGTGACTAATCACCAAACAGCAGCTTTTAATACTATAGTGTGTTTAACAAATATTCAAGCCCCACAAGTTAAAACACTGGGCTGACTTTGAAGGTCAGACACATCAGTGGATTCATGGCACGTTCTCACCTTCACTTCAGTGGTATCACCATTACTGACTTCTTTCTTCTGCATTTCTCTCATCCTCTTCTCTTTCTCCATTTGCTTCATTAGTCTCCTGCTCTGACTTGATTTTTTTACTTGAAAAACTTCCCCTTCCTCCTCTGAAAACGGTGGAAGAAAATGAAATAAAACCTTGAGGCTGAACATGTCCAACACCCCAACAAACAACCAATGGCTAAACAGCACACAAGACAAGTATGAAAACTCATTTTACACTTTTGCAGAAAGGTCATGGTGTTGCTGCCCATCATAATGGTGATTTGTGCTAGAATGTCTGGACAGCAGACACCATTGAGACTAGTTGATGTGGTAAACTGATAAATAATCATACTTCAAACATGATATAGTTATAGCTAGTTATATAGTTATAATTATAGCTATCCTACTCAGTTTGTGTCTCATGCCTTTTTATCTTACAGCAAGTATTTACCTTCATCAATAAAACTGATAACTGCCTTTTCCTCATGCTTCTTCTTTTTCTTCTTTTCTTTCCTCATATCAATATCCATGCTGTTTTCTTTTGAATCTCCCAGTCCCATAGCATCCATGCTGTCATCATTCTCAGTCTTTGGTGTATCCTTCTCTGTTGCGTCATTGCTTGCTTCATTTTCTTCATCACTGTCATGGACAGCAACCCTTTGTCTGATGTTCTTCTTAGGTTTCTTGAACAGTGACATACTGCCTGAAACAAGAATGTAACAGTTCAGAAAAAACATGCCAGACGACTAGGTATTGAACCTAAGAAGGATGAGGGATAGGATAGGTATGTTACCTGCAAATAATGAAATAAGTTTTGAGACAATACTTCTGGATTCACAAAGTTCAATTAAAAAAAAAACCCTCCCAAGTCCCACCTTCAACAAAGTTAATGAATTGGCATAAAAGGCGATATTCCGAGGTTCAGAAAGAAAAAAAATCAATATCCACCAATTTTCACCAAAAAATATTGACTGGTTTTAAAGATAAAGACTTTTAAAGACTTTTACTTTTGTTATCTTTTTGGGATCTCTGCTGCTCCTAGCCACTTAATTTGGAAGCAATAACCTGGCATCCTAAGTGTGGCAGATGTTGCATGCAAAGCAGTATACACCACCATGTGTTTACAATGGTTTTAGACTTTAGTATAAGATTTAAGAATCATTAGATCTCCGCTGACATCACGCAGTATAAGGGGGCATTCAAATGCATTAGCCTCTTTGAATCTGAAAACTGCAAGTTTGAAATTAAATAGCTGAGAATTAAAGCAATTCTTGATGTTATGAATGCCCAAACCAGTAAGCACAAGCCAGGGACCCCTATTTGGCTATCTCAACTCAAAACTAATGTTAAGGTGGGATGGTCACTTTAACCCGCGCCCCAGTGGTGGTCTCAGCCAACTTCGCCCTAGTGGGGGGGGGGGGGGCATATGTTACCACCCACCTCTAACTCAAAAACTAAGAGGCCTAGAAAGACGCGGTAAAAAGCAATCGATAGCTCTCAATGCGTACGTTTGAAACTATTTCGGTCATTTTTCATCTTAGAGCAATATTGGGGTCACTGGAGCAGACTTGTAAGCGATTCAACTCTGATTGAATCGATTCTCATGAATCGCTTGAAAATGCCGACTCACTGTGATTGAGTCGGTTGAATCACCTCTTGTCACCATATGAATCCTGATTGAATCGGTCACACATGGCAACTGCAAGTGATTGAATCGGCAACTCATCGATTCAAGTTGATTGAATTAACAAAATGATTCAATCACCATGTGCTGGAAATTGAAGTTATGACCATATTTAGTACTATATTATGTAGAAATATATGTGGATTTGCATCATAGTCACACACAATGCACTGCAAAATTTTTAGGTATTTTGTCAGTATTATAAATGCGCACAGCTATCATTATTGAAAAAAAAATAAAAATTTTGTTTCAAGTTTTTAATCAAACTGTAAACACAAAATTATACATAAATGTCAGTGCATGAAGATGAAAAAAGAATGTAAAGTTTCTTTCCAGTGCCCTAAAATCAGTATTGGTAATCAAGTTAACAGTAGCAGTAAGCAGGCGCACATTGCTCAACATACATGTTTTAGATATCATGTTAATCTTTATATTTTCAATACCCTGTTTCATCAGGACATTTGTGAGCAAGCAAAACACATTGATGAATACACAATGCATGTTTACATTATAATTTGGTAACCTTAGTTACTGATTTGATTTTAGGCTAAGGGTCATAAATTGCTTGATCTAACCCATGGTCTTCTCACGCAGTTTACATTTCCCAGCAGAATCAGCGTTTACCTATCAACGTAAATAATTGGAATACCTTGGCTTATGAGCGTTGATGGATCTGTCACATATTGCCGTGGTGGCTCCCAATCACACAAAAGTAAAGATACAATGGCAAAAAGTAGATACATACCCTACTATGTATTAAAAACAACCACCTTCCCATCACCTCCACCATCACCCAAAAACAATTGTTTTCATAGCTCAACAAACAATTTTTATCCGTTTGGTGTTCTTCACCTTCTAGTTTTGAGGACCGCTCACAGTTTTGCATTCGATGCTAAATTCGGATTAAGGGACCCTCCCACCTTCAAAAAAGTTAATGAATTGGCATGAAAGTGATGTCGCTCGGTTCAGAAAGAGCAAAAACGAATATCTACCAAATTTCATCGAAAAATATTCACCGGTTTTCAAGATATTAGACTTTTACTTTTGTTTACTTTTTGGGATCTCCGCTGTTCCTAGCGACTTTATTTGAAAGTGCGGCATTTGTTGCGCGCAAAGCAGCATATACCACCGCGTGCTACAAAACGTTTTAGTCAAACATTTAACGGACGTTCGAAAGCCTGATGACGTCATCAGATTCCCGTAATGGTTAAGAGATAGGGACCACGCTGGTCCCACCCTGCAAGTAAAGGGAAGAAATTTCTTGAACACCATAAAGCTGCGGGGGTTGCGACCAGGATAAATGGTGGTTTCTGAGCCTGGCCGCAAACTTGGCTATCTCAACTCAAAACTAATGTTAAGGTGGGAGGGTCCCTTTAAGAGATTTGCCAGACTGCTCGCAATATTTGCCACATGCAAACCACGCAAAATACGCTTTTATGTCACAGCTGCGTCAATATACGCTGCAACTACCTAGTGCTGGGCTAAATACATTGCATATTACCAAACCAATTTAGATTTCTACTGTTGGATATTTTTCTTCAATGAATTGGACAGGATAAAAAACTGTTTTACACGCATGCATAAATATGCTTAATTGAATCTAAAAATATAAACTATGCATTTTATATAGTTCAAAGTAATCCATGGTTCTGCTGCTAAATTAAAGATGGCTGCCCACTTGGCGCATGCGTACTTCAGTACTAAAGGCCTGGCTACACTATGCGTGTTCTGCGTGCGTTTTTTGCGAGCTTGCATGTTTCGCGTATATTATATAAACATTAATAAAACCTTTTATGATAAGTTAATACTTAAAGGTTTTATATATAACAAAAACAAAACATAATATCGTTCCTTTCTAGAACCGTATTATGCAAATCACGCAAACTCGCCAAAGCAAAAACAAAAAAGGCACGCAGAAAACGCGTCCTGGTAGCCAGGCCTTTACAACTTGCAACTCAGCTCCGCCGCGTATGAAGTTTGGTGTCGTGGGTTGGGCTTGGAATTGTTATTTTGTCATTGAAAATATGGATGGTTGAGGTAGTTTTATCGTGAGAGCATTCAGTTTATATTATGTAACTATTGAATAGCTTCGTATGTGTCGATATTCCGTATTCTTGATAGCAAAGAAAACTTGTAGCACGCCGAAAATGTCTAGTCCTGTGTAATGCTTTACCGGCTTTACCACTGCTTCATAAAGTATCCATCAATATTTTTTTAATGGCTGATCACCAGCTATTTTAGTTTGGGTATCACAATTGATTTGCAAATTTTGGTCCTTTTCGATGATGCTGATAATATGTGGTAGTGTCCTGTGCAATTTTGCATGTTTCCTTTTGCAAGCGCCAAGCAGATAAATGAATTTTTATAAGTCGCTTCATTTGTAACAGAGCTTGTCTTTTCTGTACTTAAATTATCATCTTTACACAGTATTTATATAAATATCAACAGCTTTGTTGAGTTCAGTATAGATTCAGTACTTTTCTATGATTTTTGGTATTTTCTTAGTGTATTTGGTTGGTATCTGTTTGGTATCAGTTTCCAAAAATGTCTTGAATTGATATCACATATGTATAAATTTTATATAACATCTTGATTGAATCGCGTTGAGTTAAATCATGAGTTGAGTCATTCCCTGAATCACTGATAATGGGATGAGTCGTGATTGAGTTGAATCACAAGGTCCATGAGTCGTGATTGAATCGCTTGGAAAATCAGACTGTTTGATTGAGTTATGATTGAATCGGTCATTTCATCAAGTGAGTCGTGATTGAATTGATTAAATTTTTTTGAATCGTTTACAAGTCTGCACTGGAGGTCATCAAAGGTCAAAATTTGCCAAATGCCATTATATTTTTCCGAAAACATGCATTTATCTCAGGAACTATGATAGCTAGAAAAACGCATGGAAAAGCAATCGATAGCTCTTGAACTCTTTTTTCGATAAGGTCATCATCAAAATTGACCTCAGGTCAACGGTTTAGCCTCCAGAGGGCAAAAACTCCAAAAATAGCTGTTTTACGAAAAGTGTTTTTCGACAATAACTTTTGACTAAAAAACGCCACGACATTCCTATTGCCAGAATCGTGTTCCTCTCGCCGAGACGCATCGAATGAACTATAATTTGACCTTGCAAGGTCAACTTGAAAATTTGACCTCCGGTCAAGGTCATGACCTGACCGGAAAAGGTCATGTTGCATATCAGTCGATGCGTCTCGGCAAGACAAACACAATGAGACCATCCCCAGCGTTCTATCTCTTTCTAATCGAGAGTTATTGGCAAAAATCTGTTTGTAGCCTCAAATGACCTCAGATGACCTTTCTAGAGGCTATCAGCAAAAACGACACCTTGGTCGTCACGGGTGGTCCAAATCATTGTGATTCTGAAATATTTGGACTGTTCCTATGCGTACACACGGATCAATTGTAGCATTTAGTAGCATCAAAGTAGCATTTTCATTTTTCTCCATTGACTTATAATGGTAAGGTCACGCCACTGACCTAACCTTAGGTCACGGATATAAAAAATCCGAGGTATACAAATTGTAGGCGCCCATAACATCATGCAATCCACCAAGTTTAAAACCTTTCTGACAAACACTGCAGGCTGGACATGATTGCAAACTTTTTTAGGCTTGGTCAGTTAACTTGACCTGGTGACCTGACCTGACATGACCTGGGGTCAAAAATTTCACACATTGTCCAAAATTGATGTGCAAAAAGCTACCCCAAGCGGCGCGGCGCTACGCGCCGCGGTTTTTTATTCACACGCGAAAAACGCGACAGGGTGGTAACATATGCCCCCCCCCCCCCCACTGGGGCGAAGGTTAAGGTCTTATAGTACCAGACTACAAAAATCCATACAATACACAGTACACTGGATGTCCTGGGGACTCTCTTGTGCCAAAAATTTGGCGCAAGTCAGTTGGGCAAACTACGGGGAGGTAATCAAGAACTTGATTAATCAAGTTCATGATTATGACGTCACGAAAACGGGGCGTGGCATGACCATATAAGGAGTTGTAATCAAGATTTTGTTATTACTTTTCGTGCACCGAACTATTCAAGTGTTTCGTTTCGATTGTTATAATGTCCATTTCGACACGATTTTTTACCAGGTGAAACGCAATATTCTATTCTCCCGAAATGATATGGACCGGTAGCAGTGGGATATGGACTTTAGCTCATATGGCGAAAGATAAACTGCTAGCCTAACTTTTTCAGAAAAGTGATATTTTTTAAAGCCCTTTTTAGGCGGATATTATTCTTTTATCCACATTTTTACGTTTCCAATTTAAAAATAAATAATTGAACATTCATTTTACACACGTCTTAAATTGGTCGTAATAAACATTTCTTCCAAAAGGCGCCGTCGCCTGTTAGCACGCCGCCATTTGTCGTGTTGTCGGTGTGTGGGTGAGGCTGGAAATTAGCGCCGAATTATTGGTAATTTGGTTCTTATAGGTAAAATTAGCATTTTTTTAAATAATTTAGATCATGTTTGTATATTTGAATAGCCTCAACGTTCATGTGCGTCGGTATAAATGTTGAGATATCGCGATAGAATTTATGATGATTTTGTAGGCTATCATGGCGCATGCTTTCCGCGGTATAATATTCTAATTATTTACAAAATGTATTGCTATTTACAAGGTTATAGTTTATCTTAAAGTAAATAATAAGCATAGTTTGTTGTTTGGGGCAATTGTTGATTAGGGAGGCACATTGAACTGCCCACAGTAGCTAGAAATGTTGTGGCCTGGCAGGTTGTGCAAAAGTTTGTAGTGTGGCCATATCATTTATTCTTGTCAATTATCTGTGCAAGCAGGGACCAATAGGATATATCTTTTAGTTTTTAATAAAAAGTTAAGCTTCGGCTTATGCTAGGTTATTCATACTTGCATTCTAAGTGGCTTTGTCATGGATTCATCGAACAATAATAGAAGTGGTGACTGCAAATGTGTCTGTTTTTCCACAGCTCATCAAAGCACCACCTCCTCGCTGTAGCGGTGGGCGTCACCACAGTATTGTTCAGGAAGCTTGTGATAATGGTACCTACCGTCCTACCTTGAGGAATTTTCAATCAAAAAATGATATGATTAACTTCTTTGGAATTAAGCGGACTAACTACAGCTACATTTGTATTATGTGCAGCGCTCATGCAAGACAGCAGGCCAGGATGCAGGGACACACAGCTGCAGGTATGTATAAATTGCTTTTGCAATAGATGGTTGTAGTGTTTTGTTTTGTCGCTGGTGCGTCACATTCAGTTTAGTGTGTCACGTTGAGTTTGGTGCATCACGTTCAGACACTACAATGATCCAGTCCAGTGTACATGTTGCACACTCGAGCTGGGCATGCTGAAAATAATTCGCTGGAGCTCCTTCAGTGTGATCTCATGAAGTTGCCTGGCACAACTTTGCGAGCTCACATGACTCATCCCCAGTTTTGTCCTGACACAGCCCAATCTAATCCTTTTTCAAGATACAGGCATTGTCTATTCTAATGTTTTCAAAACAATTCATTCTAATCTAAATGCAGAAACTTCTTTACTGATACATGTGTAATTTGTACCTACATTTTCCAGACTGCTGAGTCTGAGGCATTATACATTATTTTCACATCATGTGCCGAAACGTAGTATCAGTGCCCTGCGCCAACACATCAGGTCCATGTCTTGTCTTGTTTGTCTTGTTACATCTGTCTACCTCTCCTCCATCATTTCTTCCTTCCATCTTTCCTTGCTTCCTTCCTCACTCCCTCCTTCCCCTCCCCTCCCCTCCCCTCCCCTCCCCCTCCCCTCCTCTCCTCTCCTCTCTCTCCTCTCTCTCTCTCTCTCCCTCCTTTACTCTTTCCCTCCTTCTCTCCTTTATTCTTTCCCTCCTTCTCTCCTATTCTTTCTCCTCCATCTTCTCCCACGCAATGTTAAGTGTACCTATAATTTGGTTATGAACATTTTGCAGGGGATCAGCTGGGAGAACCTGCAGCGCATTCTCCAAGAGACGACGGAAGCCAACGGAGGCCCGCAAAACTTTCCATCCCATAATCGTGAATGGAGAGCTGGGCGGGGAAGACGCGGTATTCGTCCAGGCCCAGGAGGTGGTATCGGCGCCACCAGACCAAGCATTCCTGCTGTGGCAGGCCGCCTTTTGGATTTTTAACATCAAAACTCCTAAAACATGGTCAATCTGAATTGGTTTCTGAGAACCAAAGTGTTTGGTGGAGTGAAGGCCGATGTGCCGCCATCAGCGGCGGCCATCGCGACCGTGAAGCAAGTGGAGTGAGATCCCCGTAGAACATGCCGCGGCGGGGTGTCGGAAGCGTTTGCCAATTCTTTGAGCCTTCCATCGGCGCGGACTATAAATACACATTTCAATACACATTTCTTGAAATATATCTTTGATCTGTGCTTGGTTACACGGGCTTAGGGTTGTAACGCTATTCGTCCAATATATGTGGTCGTATGCAGATTATCATTTGAGCTGACTTATGGTCAGGCCGCTTATCGCGGACGCCGGTGTTCTTGCTCGGGGTGGTCTTTTTCAGATCCGTGCTCGGCAATGTGAGCGAGCAAGCGCGAGAAGAGGTGTGCTCGTGCACAAGTCCACATGTGTGTGCCACATCCCTATTCCCTAACTTGTCTAAAGCTTACAGCTATTAAGTCTCTAGCCACCCACCAAAACTGAAAAACAATCGGTGACGCCGTTCCGGAGATACAGAAATGATGTGCGCGTGTGCAAACATATCCTATCCCCGATTTGTCCAAAACTTATAGCTAATAGGCTTCTAGCCACACAAAAATTTGAACAGGCTCGGTCAAGTCATTCATGAGAAACATTAACTGCAACATAAATTCCATCCCACCAAAACTGATTGATTTTGTCAATAATATACACCATTATCATTGTATCTTTTAATTAGTTGCATTGTTCAACGCTCGCCAGTAGCACGATCAGCGCGATCAAAATCGTGATTAGCCAGCTGAATGCGAAATCAAGATCATGATTAGCCTAGCCAGCTGGCTGCATAATCAAGAAGTTGATCATCGGACTCCCGGGACGACGCCTCGTAATCAAGTTGTTGATTACGTTTTGGTTGCAATCTACCGCCTCACGATTTTCAACTTGAATCATTCAAACATTACACTTGTAGAGTGACTTCTTCTCTATCGGTCTTACAATTTTCGTGCATCTCCGTAGACCCTGAATCGAGATTCAGCCGTTTTCGTGACGGGCTGCAGACATGACCAAATATGGGCATAAAATAATCATGAACTTGATTAATCAAGTTCTTGATTACCTCCCCGTAGTTTGCCCAACTGAAGTAGTTCAACGCCAAAATTATGGCATGTTTTACGGCTTGTGCCAAAAGTTGAAGCCTATTTTTGCCAAAATTCAACTTTTTTACCATTCGCATACATGCACATACTTATCTATGCATTGCCATAAGCACTGAACATGACAACATATAGCAGGGTGCCTGTATATAATGCAATATGAACAAACACGTTTTCCCGTCAGAAGTTTTTAATTCTTCCGAATTGAATGAGGGTAGGATGCTGGTTTATGGATACAGTACGTAAATATACATTGGGATTACAATGAAACCTTGGCCTTGGGCACTGTAAATGCTACACAAAAGCGACAAGAATGGGTTCAGCGCTCAAATGCTAGCACAAAATCAAAAGTCCTTGCCCTGATGTTGCTATGAATCTGAATATCGACAAGCACTCCCCTTCGAATCCTGGTTGTAGTTCTCACTTACCTGCTTTCAGTACGTAGCTTTAACGTTTCTAATCGATGTTTTGAATTGATTATTACACTAATTCAATAATTCGACACACTATCTCCGCGCTTTGGCTTGTTGTCGGACTGCTGCAACACGCACAAACGCAAGAAAAATTGCACCCTCCATAATTGCCTCAATGGCCGCAAAAGAATGCCCATAGTGCTACCATATCGTACAATAAAAAACTTCGTGGAAAAACGCCAAGGCGGACCGGATGAACCGCCAAATATGAATTACAGTCGAATCTTCGGATTTCGGATAACAACTCCAGCCGTTTATTGTGGCACAGGCCGTTTGACCTGTTAACGTATGCTCACACATTTTCTCCATATAAGCCAATATCAATAAACCCGCGTCTTGCTGGGGGTTAAACACTCCCCCCCCCGGCCCCCACCCCTCAGGTTTTTCGCGAATATCTCAAAAACGGCGGCGGCACACCTTATCGGCTTATCGTACGTCTTCTCTTCAAATGCTGAGAAAATTTCAGACCAAGATCACTCAAGGTCAGGTCACTAGGTCACTTCAAGTGACCTCATTACAAGTTTCAATGTCTGCCATAGCAGATAGGGGAAAGTGGGTGTATAGGTATTGCGCCCTCCTAACCAATTGCGCCCACCAACATTCCCACGAATTCAATGGCATGTTTAGAATTTTGTGATCGAAAACAATATTTTCACTGCACTGGATAATTCATTTTATGGCCCAAGCTCTCCGCCGGAGAGCTTCGTGACGAAGCCAATCAGCAGGGCTCATTACGCGATCAAAGATATTACGGCGTTTTCTTAGCTTTTCTGCAGTACTTTTACCCGTTGGCTTTAAAAATACCTATGCGATACGTGATTGATTTTCAGACTGATATTTAACCCGCGCATGACTGGGGTATTTTCCATAACGCGAGTGACTGGGGGGGGGGGGGCTCTCCAGAGCCCCCCCTCCTACCTCCGAAACTACTGGGCCGATCGTCAAAATTCAAACGGCGTCTGATAGCCCTGGAAAAACTGTCGAACGAAACCTATTTTCATTTACCTCGAGGTCACCGATGACGTCACAGGTCAGGTCAAAGTAAAAATTATCGACATTTTTGCTAGTTCACAATTTAGGCTCTGACCACCGGGCGGGCGGCCCGATCAGGCTCATTTTTGGTTTACGCACTCCTTGACGGATGCCTTAGATACCCTGAGGGTACCGAACTTTTACTTCGAATTTTTAAGGTCAAGGCCAGGTCATCCTAGGTGACGAAAATTGTATATCATGTATCGGTCACGTGACGCATGTTTTATGGTCCATTATACTCGTAGATTTCGAAAATAGTGTCGTCTGTATCATTTGAGGTCATTGTCAGCTGAATTTACCGGAGGTCAGGTCACTTTCAGGTCAGAAAAGGTCAAATTTTGAAAATGAAATTTTCAACAAAAAAGGTACCTATCAGATGCAGTTTGAGCTCAGCAACACGATGGTGCCATTTATATTGCTGTACGACGTCAAAAACGTACTGAAAATGGAATTGAAAAAAACATAAAATTGTAAAATTCTGACAATAATGCGAATAACTTGGCTATTTTTGAAGATATTGGGCTAAAACTTGCAAATGTAGTTCATCAGTGTGTGTTCTATCACATATATTCCGTTTTTTTTTGCAAAAAGTCAAAAACTTTTTGATAAAATAAAATATATATTTTTTTGTAATTGTAAATACATATTTTTCATAATTTTCAAAATATCGAAAATTCGAGATAGCAGTTTGATAGCTACGTGTATTTGTAGTCCAATCATGAAAAGAAAATGGATCTAGCTTAAAAACTGAGCTCTTGAGAGCGTTTGCCGTAATTCAGTATTTTGCATGAAAATCGGCCGACATGACGTCACTCTGACGTCATTTCCGGTCAAACTATGGTAGCTAGAAAGTTGAAATTATAACACAAGGTGTCAAATTGATGCCTTTGAAGGTACCGCAACTTTCGTGTTGATCTGTCAAACGGTTGAGAAGATATTGCTGAAAAACGGGAGGGGGGGGGCTCTGTAGAGCCCCCCCCCCAGTCATGCGTGGGTTAAAAAAAAAACTTTTTTTTCATTATATTTCACTAAAACAGTAAACATCCTTCAGTACCTATATTTATGATAACTTCTACACTTTTATTAAAAAGTACCTCAATTTTAATTGCGCCCATGGCAGTTACGCAGGGGGGCGCAAATAGAATAATGGTGTCGCTATTGTATCACAACAGTATGAACATGGGTGGAGAACCTACCCCGGCCACCCCGGCCGTGGCCGGGGTAACTTTCAGCAGCTCAGCTTACCCTGGCGCGGCCGGGGTAGCTTTTTCCACTTCTGTAAATCCTAAAAGCTGTATCTACATGGGAGAAAAAAAACAAGTGCTACCTATGAAAGTGTTCGTCTTATCTACCTTTCAAATTTTCTATTTTGATTTTGAAGCTTCTACTCAAAACTTTTCATCGAGAATGTCCGACGAGCCTGATCAAACAGAATTAAATGCAAATCAAGGGCCGTTACCGTAAGACGGCACTACAATAATAACATTACAAGGCAGATCTAGCCCGCGCCCCACTGGGGTCTGCGTATAACACGCCTTACGGGGGGGGGCTCTCCATAGCCCCCCCCCCTCCTAACTCCGAAACTACTGGGCCGATCGTCAAAATTCGAACGGCGTCTGATAGCCCCGGAAAAACTGTCGAGCAAAACCTAATTTCATTGACCTCCAGGTCATCGATGACGTCACAGGTCAGGTCAAAGTAAAAATTATTAGCTTTTTGGCTTGTTCACATTTTGGGCTCTGGCCGCCGTCTTACAAGTCAGATCAGGCTCATTTTTGGTTTCCACACTCGTGAACAGATGCTCTAGATTCCTTGACGGTACCAAACTTGTAGGTACTTTGATTTTCAGGTCAGGGTCAGGTCATCACAGGTCACGGAAATATTATATCATTCGTCGGTCACGTGACACATGTTTTATGGTCCATTTAGGCCATAGATTTCGAATTTGATGTCGTCTGTGTCATTCGAAGTCATTTCGAGTCGAGTTTAGCTTAGGTCAGGTCACTTTCAGGTCAAAAAAGGTCAAATTTTGAAGTTATGATTTTTCAACAAAAAGGGTGTCTATTGGATGCAGTTTGAGCTCAGGAACACGATGGTGCCATTTATATTGGTGTACGATGTCAAATACGTACTAAAAAAATGATTTGAAAAATTAATAATTGTGAATCTTTTAACGCATTATTGTGAATTGCAATAATGCGTATAACTTGGCCATTTTTTGAAGATATTTAGCTAAAACTTGCTAGAGTTAGTCATAAGCATGCGTTCCTGTCACATATATTCTGTTTTTTTTCGAAAAGTCAAAAACTTTTTGAAAAAAATATAAAAATATAAATTTTGAATATCATTATATGAAATTTTCGATATTTTCAAAATTTTGAAAATCCGAGATAGCAGTTTGATAGCGCAGTCAATTCTGAGTCCTTTCATGCAAAGAAATTGGATCTAGCTTAAAAATTGAGCTCTTGGGAGCGTTTGCCGTGGTTCAATGTTTTGCGTCGAAATCGGCCGAACATGACGTCACTCTGACGTCATTTCCGGCCGACCTATGGTAGCTACGAAGTTCAAATTTTGACACAAGGTGTCAAATTGATGCAGCCAAAGGTACTGAAAGTTTGGCGTCGATACGTCAAGTGGTTTGGAAGTTATTGCAGAAAAACGGGAGGGGGGCTATGAATAGCCCCCCCCCCCCCAGTGGGGCGCGGGCTAGGGTAATATCAGTGATATATGTAGAGCATCAAGAGAGGGCTATAACTGAAGCTCAACTCACTCAAGACTCCCCCAACTTAAGCCAGTAGCGGCGGAACACCTTCAATTAAGGTGGGCGGGGGATGGGGTCATTACCGACTTTCCGTCTTATTCTTTCCATGCAACGCCCTTAGGCCTAAATGTTAAAAAGGTAAAATCAAGGGGGGCACGGTGCCCCGGTGCCTCCCCCCCGTTCCACCGCCTATGGCTTAACCCGCGCAAGGTTGGTCAGACACTATCGTAGCACGTTGAGGCAAGAGGTAGGCGTTTTACGTCCCTTCTAACTCGCCTACTGGGCTACGTGGCGAGGAGAGGTAATGCCGTTTGAATTTGATTCATTTGCAGACGTTTTTTAATGTGCAGGTAGGTGTACATAGATTAAACGATAAAACCGAAGAGTTTAGCACACTCTGGTGTGCTACGGCAAAAACCATTGGAGTGCTGTCTGGGCGATCGTGAAGAAGCGATCAATGAAGTGTCTGTATCATTTGTATGCTTATGTGTGAGTGAGTACGTAGGTAGGTATAAGCGCTGTGACCATGACGGTATGTTATACGTGGTCGTGGACTAGTTGAGTAGTGGAGATATATGAAGACAAGTGCATGTCATGTTTTCATGTTTCTGTTAAGCGTTAAAATAAATTAGCTCTTAAGTGGGAAAAAATAATAATAAGAGACCTATATAGCTCGGTCATATCTTAGGTCAGCTCAAAGGTAAGACCACCATTGGCCATCGAAAAACTAATTTTCCCGACTTCAGCGTTCTCCAACAACTTTTCTCATAGCTCGTGAGAATTGACGAAGCTAGAACAAAACATTTGATAGCTCTATTAGGGTTCGTTCGCGAATACGATTTCGGATGCGAATTAACCCTCGCATGTGTGCGGCGTTTGCCAGCGTCTAATGTGTAGGGGGGGGGGGGTCGGTTGGACCCCCCCTTGCCGTTTGGCCCCTGATCGAGCTAGAGCTTCGCGGAAAAAACGAGCGTGTTGCCCGTGACGAGAGGAAGCCGATGATACCCAATTATAAGGTCCTAGGTCATTGGTTGACCTTCCAGGTCAGGTCAATGACCCAAAGGCGGGAAAATCGGGACCTGCTAGAAAGTCGTAAAGTGTGGCTGCTAAGGATTTTTTTTGGGGTGCTGATCACGAATATCGTGTTAGTTTTGATCACAGATGATGTCTTTAAGCATTTAGACCAGGTCGGGTCAGGTCAGGTCAGGTCAACCAGTAGGCGTCGTGACGGGTATTCGTAGTACGTGTCAACCGCCTCTGACAGCTTCGTAACATGTTACGAAGTCACCAAAACTACTTCGTAAATGTTCAAATGGTTGCTAAATTCGAATTCAGCTCCAAAA